AGGGGGTGGTGGTGAGGATCATGGGAGCACTCACATGTAGGTGCGAGATGCCTGTTAAGATGTCCCTGGGGAGAAGTCAAAGTCAGGAGAGCTGCTGGAGCTCAGGAGGCCAAGCCCGGGAGATCAGTCTGGAGGGCATGTGACACAAGACAGCTGAAGCCACCAATGAGATCCCTTCGAGAAGATAGCACCTCTGTGGTCTGGGCTGCCTTCCCCCGTGTTAGCCTCCTCCCCGCTCCACAGCTGCTGCCGCTACCCTTCCTCCACCCTTTAGTTGGCCCGCAAGCCCTGCTGGATATAGGCCCCAGTCGCCTTTCGTCTCTCCTTCCTGCCCGTCGCTGGGGCATGGTTTGGGCAATTGGTGATGACCCCACTTCTGTATCGGGTGGTCAACCGACTCTCTCCTGTCCACAGGCCCCAGGCTCAGGAGTCCAACTATGAGAATTTGAGCCAGATGAGCCCTCGGGACCCACCAGCAGCCACATGTTTACCGTGAGGAGCCCCTTGGCCACTGGCATCCTCTTGTACAGCATGAGGAGCGAAGGCCAATGCCAGGCTTGGCTGGGACAGCCCTTCCTGGCTGCCAGCCACCTTGGCAGCCCCTTGCCAGGCAACCCCCCACAAAGGGAGTCCAGACCCCATTCACAGAGGCTCAGTGGTTTCTTACGTGGATGTCTGTCCCAGAGCCCCCATCATCACTGGGACCAGCATTTTGAAAGAATCTGTATGTGTGTGTACGTGTCTGTGCGTGTGTGCGTGAGCTCAGAGTGAAGCTCACAGACAAGTTCTGGCCCTTTCTTACATAGAACACCATCATAAAACGGGCAAGACACTGGTCAGAGGGGCTCCCAGGCTCTGACTTGCTGTGTCGACTAGGGCATGTTTTTACCTCTCTGAGTCTCAGTTTGTCCATTCTGGAACATGGACAATAATCTTCCCTCCTGGCTGCTAGGACTATCAAGATCTGAAGAAATAATGGATATGAAGGGACTTCGCGAAGTACAGAACCATGTACAGATGTGGCAGCGGGTGGGGGGGGGAGGCCACAGGCTCCTCCTTGCAGGCACCCTTGGGACGTGCAGAGACTTCTTGGACAAGTGGGGGCCCCACACCAGCCTGGCCAAGAACAAGGATTCCAGAGAGCAAACCTTTGAGTCTGGGGCTGTGCAAATCGGTGGTCCCAGGAACATCAACTCAGCGGTGAGAAGCCCGGTACCCCTGCCCCCGGGGTCTCGTCTGTGACGGCCTCACACATTGTGCCTACCTCTTACCCCAATGGCTGCTCTGCACTGCCTTGAGCTGGGTCCCCTGGGAAAAGAAACACCCATCATCTGACAGCATCTGGGATTCACTGTCCTTAAGGACCGAAAGCTGAGAGGTCAGAGGGGAAGTCTGGGCTGCAGGTTCGTGTGGATAAAGCAGCTGTGGCTGTGACCTCCACCTATGACCTGCATCCACCCTGCACGTGCGAGGTCCAAAAGCACCAGCGATTCCACGGCATTTGTCCGAGGCCTCGCAGACTGACTGCAGGGTGCTGCCTTCCGTGTTCACACCTCTGTGTGAGCCTGTGCATTTTAGCTCCTGCAGTTCTTGGGCTCAGGGGACAGGGAGGAGGTGTGCCTGAGCCCAGGGCAAGCTGGAAAGAGCAAAGGGCCACCGGGCCAGGCACCGAAGAAGCAATGGGGACAGTCTTTCCCTCAGGACTTTTCCCAAAGCTAGGGTGGCGGCCTAGAATAGGAAGGGTCCTCGCTGATGCTTTGCTGGGGAGGTGGCCTGAGGTATGAGGGATCTTCACAAGTTAATAAGCAGGGCAGTGGGTGACAAGTTTCCCTTGCTCAGCAGAGCCTTTGCCAGGGAAAGTGGGTGACAGTAGCTCATGGTTAACTTGGGATCCATCCAGGAGCCTGTCTGAACTGTCAGAAGGTCAGAGGAGTTGGAATTTGTACCTCCTCGTATGAGGATACTTTGGGCACCTCCATGGAGAGTCCCATATCACCAGGGAAGAAGCGAGGGACACGGGGGTGGTGTGGTTTGAAACGTCTGCCTGGTCTTTGAGGCCCGTTTCACAGCCAAGAAAAAGCCATGATAGCAATTATTTTCTGTGTATCTGTTTTGTGCTAGGAATTGGGCCAGGTGTTTGGGCATACAGAAATGAATGAGGTATGCGTCTCGATCAGTCTGGGTTAGGTTGTGCTGTGTTAACAAAGCCGAAATCACAGTGGCTGAAAGCAACTAGGGTTTATTCGCACCAGAGTTACATGCCCACCACAGATTGGCATTAGAGCTTTGCTCGCTGTACTTACTCAGGAACACAGGCTCCCAAGGACCCGCCATCTCTTGCTGTGGGTCGTTGGGTTGGAGATAGAGAGCTCTCGAGGGTCTCCTACTTGAGATCATAACTCATTGGCCAGAACTACCAACATGCCACACTCACCCTCAGGGGGCCGGGCAGTGCGCCCGACACGATGCCTGGAAGGAGGGAAGCCAGAAGCATGGGCAACAGCCCCGAGGGCTCCACAGTAAAATTTCTCACGTTAGGGAGCGACAGACCAGTCAGTGGGAAATCCTGTAAGGGCAACAGAATGCTGAAGGTGCTATGGGAGCACCCAGGAAGGAAGAGTGACCCAGTCTTGGGAAGGCTTCCTAGAGGAGGGGACATGGAGAAGGCACGTGCCGGCCACGTAAATGGGGGAGAATGGAAGTCGGAAGATGAGAACAAAGGTGATTCTAAGCGGAAAGGGCAGTCTGGGAAAAGGCCAGGTGGTCAGACACGGCATGATATTGAAGCCACACAAAGTTGCTGGAGCATGAGGGCTGGAGCTGGGACTGCAGCTAGAGGGGGCTCCCACATGGTAGCAAGTGCTGCCCCCAACAGGGCTGAGAAGCAGGACGCTGACTCCCAAGGAACCAAGGGGCCAAGCAGGACGCTGACTCCCTCTACTGCTCAGCATGCTGCTTTCACCTGTCCAACTGCTGCACCTGCTCCGGAGCCACCATGCTCTGGGGCTGGGGTTTCCACCTCGAGACCCCAGGCTCTCAGAGCCGTGTTTCTGCAGTGGTTTCTGAAGGTCAAGTGGTTTGCATCAGAAGGACCTGGGGAGCTTGCTCAAATCCCCATCCTGAGTGCTACCTGGGCCTCCTAAAAGTGAGCTCTGAGGCTGGGTGCTGGAATTTTAAACAGATGTTCATGTGATTTTTGCCCCTAACTTTGTATTATGATCATTTTCAATCATGCACACACACACACACACACACACACACACACACACAGCTGAAAAAGGAAGATGACCACCCAGGTACCCACCACCTACATCCAACAGTTACTGAACCATTCAGGGCCAACTGCAGACACCACAGTGCTTCGCCTCTAAATACCTCAGCTGCATCTCCAGAGAACAAGAGCATTCTCCTTCATAACTCCAATGCCATTTTCACGTTTGAGAAAATGTTAACAATAATTGAATAATATCATCGTATAGCCCACATTCGTATTTCCCCAGTTCTCAAAATGTCTTTCTTAGTTTGTCGTCTCTAGCCAGGGCCCAGGTGACTCCAGGCGATTCTTAAACAAGCTAAAGTTTGAGGATGCCTCCGGGTGGGCTGACTTCCAAGGGTGCGAGCTCACCACCCAATGCTCCTTCTTATGGTATGTGCAGTTTGAAGGAGGGCGTCCCAGAAACCGCCGAAGTGGCATTCCTAAAAGGAACACGCAGCTGATGGAGTGCTTTCACACTCCATGCTGGGCCGTGGGGAGCACACACAGAGAAGGGACAGCAGAGGGTCCCTCCGGCACTCCCTCTACCGATTTGCTTACTGCGCACAGGCAGCCTTCTGCTTAGTCTCCAGATAAAGCGGCTGCTCCAGGGGCAAAAGGGGAGAGTGGTGAAGCGGCTGTATTTGGCCATCACCAGACCCCAGGAGCTTGGAGCTCTCACTGGGAGGTCTGCGTGGAGCAGAGCTGCCGTCCTCCCCAACCCGACCGTCTCGGAGCACTCAGGCTTTGTCAGTGGCAAGGACCAGAGCCACAGGCGACGGGCTCAGTCGGCACATTGTCAGGGAGAGAAGGGACCCAGGAGACTTGGCGTTTTCAAGACAGGACTCCGCAGTGTGGCCCAGGACGCGCAGCTAGAGCCGTCCCTTCTGTGCTCTGGGAATGTGAGCCCGCTTGTCCCCAGAAGGGCTGCTGACAGCCCAGAGACTGCCCTCCACTGCCAGCCCTCCACCTGTTGCCCCTGGAGATGGGCAGTGGGAGGAAGAGGTGCACCCAGATGTGCCAAGAGCCCAACACACTTCCCCTGCCTTGAGGAGCTAGTGAGCTTTTACATCGAGATGCAGCTACAGGAGAAGACAGTGTCCATGAGATCATCTACACTGAAGGTAGGCCCTGCCTGGGGACGAAATGACACACAGTGGGCTGAGTGTTCACATACAGCCCCTTAGCCAGCCTGGACGGGAGCGCCAGGCCCACTGGTCACAGGGCCTTCAGGCCAGTGGGACCTTAGAGACCAAGAGCCGGGGGTCCTGGGCTTTGTCCGGCCTCCAGCCCTGGCTGCTTAAGTCAATGCTACCAGCCCTCTCTCCCCCAATAACATCCCCTCAACATTTCCTCAGTGCCTCCACCTCTGTGGCCTCAGGGACTTCTTGCTGTAAACCCAGGGAACAGGAAAAGCTGCAATTATCCCCATTTAAAATAGGGAAAGTCTCAGGAGGAAAGCGGCCTGGCCAGCTTCCCACATGTTTTGTGACAAAACAGCTGTGGTCCCAGCTCCTTCCACACCAACATGCTGCCTCCTCTTTCCCAGGCTTTCTCTCCCATGTCTCTCCTCCTCTCCTGTGCCCCTTCCTCTGTGTCACGTTTTATGCACTAAAGGGAGAAAAACATGATCTGCCAACATAAGGATACAGAAATACTTGGAATTCTGGGTTTCCCGGGTTTGGGCCCCCAGACCTTTGTCTTGCACAGTCATCCCCAAGTCCTGTGTGCAAGTGACCTCAAAGGGTCCCCAGAGCTGAAGATAGCCCAGGTACTCACCTCCATACTGCCACCAGAAGAGGGGGGGGAGGAGGATGGGATGAAGGAGGAGAAGAGTGGGACTGGAAAGGGAAGGTGGACAGAGGGCCTTAAGGAAGGGTGACTAAGGACAAGGCAGGGGGCGCTTGGGTGGCTCAGCCAGTTAAGTGTCCAACTCTTGATTTTGGCTCAGGTCATGATCTCATGGACCGTGAGATCAAGCCCCCTTCGGGCTCTGTACTGACAGCATGGAACCTGCTTGGGACTCTCTCTCCCTCTCTCTGTGCCCCTCCAATGCTCACACCCTAACCTCAAAATATTAAAAAAAAAAAAAAAAGACAAGGCAGGGAGCAGGGCAGCCCAGGAAGACTGAAGGTCCACAGTAAATCTGGTGTCAGCCACAAATTTAGGCTATATTACAATACAGTGTCCAGGAGAGGGGTCGTGTTGGTCACTCTGACAGACCAGGAAAGTGTGGCTGTTTC